TTCATTGTTTTTTCTTATCCACCTCCAAGCTAACACATTCCTAAGGTGTCATTTCTATTCACACAATAACAGTTTAAATTTCATAATCAAGACAACTGCTTCAACTAATACATCAATGAAAGTGCTGTGATATCCAAATTGCTATACTAAGATCAAATTCTATGACTGCCTGGTGATCTGTTTATAGATACGAGTGAAAATAAAGAGTCAAAACAGGGCTACTTATAATCAGTGTCTTCTAGAACACACAAAATTTTGATTTCTAAATAAGGATTATAACACAAATTTCATTACAGGTAACTAAATTCACAGTTCTTTTGAGAAACTGCAATAATCAGATTACATAATCAACCAAATATGATTCAGTACTCTATATATGAAAAGTCAGTTGGATATAGTATACATGGTTGCATTTCCGAATGTAAGTATTACATCATCAAAAAAATGACCAATAGGCTGCTCCTTATATTCCTAAAGCTAAAATTTGTCAGTATTACAATGGACTGAATGTCTTTTACTGATACATGCAATCAATACATCAGGCATACTGGTCTGAGCAATGAGGTTCTAGTGAACACCTTTCTCAAGTGACTCAATATGAGTTCTGATTCTTCAAAGTTTGTAAAGTTTTTTTTTTTACTGATCTGTATATGGATTCAGTTTGCAATAGTTGCCAAGAGCTTCACTGGAATTTGATTAGTCATCCTTTGTTATATTATATGAGTCCAAAGCACAAGCAATAGTGTTTTTCAATAGTATTATTTCTCAAGAACAGTTTAGTCTCACTTTCTATAGGAAGCTTGGTATCAAGGCCTCATGTGCCTCTGGTGTGTAATGAAGAATAAATTAATAATTTGTGAGGTGGGCATAGACTGGCATGGCAGTTGAAGCATAGAGTAATGGGAATATGCTTGCTAGATGTATAGATATTTCCATAAGTGATTGAGTAAATAAATAGATAGAAGTATATACATCAAGAGTAATGGGATTTTTTACTCTCTTCTTTATAAGTCTTCAAGCACTGCTTACTGCTTACATAAAGAATTCTGAATTTGATTATCTTTATATCTAATTTTTATTCCTCAAATCTTAAATCTGAAATATCATTAAATGATAATTGACATTTAAGTTTTCTTTCTCTTTATGATTAAAAAAAAAGTAGAATGAAACATGATTCATGATGTTCAATGATCTTAGAAAAAAGAAAAACAGGAAAAAAGCTTTATAGAACCTTACTCATGCCAAATAATTGTCATCGTGAATAAAATTATTAAAAGAAAAAATCAATGAACATGAGAGGTGGCATTCATACGAGCAGTTACCCACGCTCAACACAGCTGATTCTGGCACTTAGAAAAAGGGGCACTTTTTAATGAACCCTCTTCTTTCATTCTTTTTCTTTTTAAAGATCTAAGCTTTTAAACTGTGAGTGATACTTGAGCAACGGAGACCACAGTGTCCGCATGTGTGTAGTCAAGTAAGGGTGGTGGAGGAGGCACCAAGTCCAAGTCCTATGGTCATCACAACAGTAAACATAAAAATAGAAAGGTTGTATTTGGTGCATCATATTCAGTACTGTAGAAGAGGAAAGCTAGATGATGCAAACATCAAACACATCAAGACTGTGGGCTGTGCATGTAAACTATGGAACTCAATCTTAAGGGGAGCTGAGAGGAGAGACTAGAAAATGAACAAAGATAAACTGAACAATTCTAGAGGATAGTGATATCTGATTACAAGCAGAGATATGAAACTTTATACTCTAACAACCAAGAAGTTACTTAAGGTGAAAAAAGTTGGTCTATAACATTAACAGTAAGCAGTAGCAATAAAAAATAGAAGATATCTTAAATAGGAAAACATTTAATTTACATATGGTTCCAAGAGCAAAAATGTATTAACTTACCATCTATTTTCTTGTCCAGTGGTTCTGTCTTCAACTGGCTGGTAGTAGGGTGACTGACAATAATGGAGGGTTTATTGGAAGAGGACGACTGGGAGGCGGTTGGCAAGGTAACTGGGACACAGGACATGGACGATGGTGGACTCATGACTGAAGACGCATTGGAAGAGGGTGGGGGACCTTCTGAGTAGTGCTGCTTCTTGGGTGGGATGGTCATGGGCAACGGAGGGGGGGATCTCATCTTGCGCTTCATTCGGTCGTCCTCCTGACTTCTGACATCAATGGGTTCCTCCTTGACCTGAAAGAATATTTATATTAGACATTTGCTGTACTAATTTCCAGGTGTAGAGAATTAACACAATCAGTCCATTAGCAGTCCTTAAAAAATGAAAATTTGAAGAGAAACCAACCTTGACTTTTGTTTGAAGGTGTGGTCTACTGACAAATCTTGCATGAAGTGTTGCAGCAAGTCCCTCCACAGGACCCTCCACTGGTAAGCCTCTGTTTTCATTCATGTGGTGAGGGATAGGTGATATTTCTGCCCTTGGAAGTGGCACATATCTGCTCTTATTATTATCCCCTGAAGGCAAGGGGGGAGTGGCCTGGCTGGTGGGAGGGGTTGAAGGAGGTGGTGGGCACTTGGTCCCATACATGGAAGCTAGACGGGCCTCTAGCCCATCTCGACCAGGTGATGGTACTGGTGGGGGCATGTGTGGCTTCTCCTCAAATGGCTGGCCCCGAGGAGACTTGACTCGGGGGTACATCAAGCCTTCCATTGCCTGTGGTGGTTGTGGTGTAGAGGGCAGGCTCTCAGTGCTGTTTGGCCTCGAGATGGGTGAGTAGACCATCCTCAGTGCTGGAGACTGTTGACGACCATCACCACTGTCAGGGGTGTGGGGTTTGCCATAACTCTCTTCCACTATTCTTGCTATCCGTGAATTTGGACGTGGAGAGATGGATTTTCCTGCTATGGTCATGTCAACAGCAGAACTGCCAGTAGACTGGGAGGAGATTTCTAATGATCGCTCTACTTCACTACTAATGAGATCTCCAACATTTCTGGTGATTGGTTGAATTTTGAGTGATCCAGGAGGTCCACATTCCAATGCAAGCTTCTCCTGAGAAAGGTGACGCCGCAGGGCTAGTTTGGCAGGGGAAACCTGCGTATAGTCTGGCTGACCAATTTTTGACTCTTTTAATTCTTTTAATTCTCGAATCTCACCTCTCTTTTCTCTCATCTCTTTTTTCAGCTCCTGACTGTTTGCCCCTGGCAACGAATAGGACTGGTGTGACTGGGCTGGGACGGGAGATGGTCTCTGCTGCAGAGCAGGTGGCTTGTCTTCATTAAGGACATTTGTAATAATCAGCTTCAAACGATCTTCAAAGTCCGCCACTCTTGGGGGTTCCTGAGCCCGTACCATTGAGAAAGTTCTTTGGTTCTTTTCTGAAGGAGGTCGAACTGGAGGCGGCTGGTATTTTGTCTCTGGTTGACTAGTCACCTCAACCTTTGCTGTCAGGGTATTGTTTGGTAACGATCTCTGAGCCAGCACCACAACACGGCCACCTTCTTGAGTCACAGGTATTGACTGTGTCCTCACTTCTGTTGGTCTTCCATCTGTGGGATGTGGCATACGTGGAGCTTCACTGTTAACAGGTAATCGGCCTTCATGTACTCTAACTTCCGTGCCAGCTGGAAGTACAGGGAATCTTCCAGCTTCAATTTGCCTCCCAGTCTCTAGTATCTTCTGAGCTAAAATTTCAGGATTCTTCTCCTCAATTTTTCCTACATCAGGAATGTTTGGCCATTCTTGGTTACGGCTCCTATGCCTGGTCTTGTGTCTCCCAGGTGACTTATCAGAGCGTTGCCCCAGGTTCTGGTTTCTTGCAGCCTCCGGTGATGAACTCTCCAAATTATTGACCTCAGATTCCAGTCTTGAAACCTGAGTGTGAAGCTTCTTTCTCTGAGACAGAGTTTGAGAAATCTCTCGCAGGATGAACTCTTGCGTTAAGTTGGACATGTCAAGGTTCTGGAATTTGTAGACGAAACTCAAAAATCCTCATCCATCTTGTAAAACTATCTTTAATATTCATTATAAAGTAATATTCATCAATACATATTACAGAGCTATCAAACATACCAAAAAACAGAATATGCAAATCAGTCTTCTCTTCTCTGGTAACTATACTGAAGGAAGAATCAATAAAAACAGTGAAACATCTGGAAAAGCCAAAATCTACTCACCACTCCATTAACATGTCCGTTCCTCTGGTACTTGTTAATCATTTCATGTTTTCTTAGTCTTACAAGTCGCTCCTTTTCTTCCTCAGCAGATGTTACTTGCTGTTGAAGGGATGAAACATTGGCTTGGAGCTCCTTGTGGCGCCACACAATTTCCTGAAATTTCAAATGGAATATATTCTGGTAAACTAATAAGCAGAAAAAATAATGTACATGTTTGAACATTAAACACGACCTATCATCAGTGAACATTAGAGAACACAGTTAAGAAATATACCTTAGCTCTGTTTAGAAGGTCTTCTGGATTTGCAGCTGTCATACCCAGTTCTGAGATGCGAGATCTTAACAGAGCAACTGAATCATCAATGAGAACCTTGATCTGTCTTTCAAGCTGGGCTGCCCGTGATTTCAAAGACTTGTTCTTTTCCTGTGAAGCATAATTTGCTTTTAAACTATTGTTTTAATCAACTTAAATTAGTCTCTGTCTACAGTTACCATCTTTGCATTACTTCTTCCAAATGTTAAGATGTATTAATTTAAAATAATAGTTAAGCCTAATCAAAAAAACTACATCTCAAAAATTACTTTGATAACAAACTAAGATTTTTGAAGATTTTTCTCAATGAAAAGTTACTAACATTTTAGAAAAAGAAAAAACTATATAGAAATCCTACTTCTTAATTTACGATTATTTATCATCCCTCCATTTACCATTTCTAAGCAAATCAATGGCTAAGATGATAAAGAACCCTGGAACCAACATGCAAGGTGGACAATTTTCATCTGCGCATACCTTTTCCACCTCAATCTGTTGTAACACATAGTCTTTGTAATCAGGATTCTTGATGGTATCCAACA